GCAGACAACAATCAGAGGCCTTTGTCCTGTCAGGCCCATGGATAACAGAATATAGCAGACAACAATCAGAGGCCTTTGTCCTGTCAGGCCCATGGATAACAGAATATAGCAGACAACAATCAGAGGCCTTTGTCCGGTCAGGCCCATGGATAACAGAATATAGTAGAAAGAAACCTGAGGCCTTTGTCCTGTCAGGCCCATGGATAACAGAATATAGTAGAAAGAAACCTGAGGCCTTTGTCCTGTCAGGCCCATGAATAACAGAATATAGAAGAAAGAAACCTGAGGCCTTTGTCCTGTCAGGCCCATGGATAACAGAATATAGTAGAAAAAACCTGAGGCCTTTGTCCTGTCAGGCCCATGGATAACAGAATATAGTAGAAAGAAACCTGAGGCCTTTGTCCTGTCAGGCCCATGGATAACAGAATATAGTAGAAAAAAACCTGAGGCCTTTGTCCTGTCAAGCCCATGGATAACAGAATATAGCAGAAAAAAATCAGAGTCCTTTGTCCTGTCAATTTCCTGTATAATCTTTTAAACTTCGATAAGATTAATCTAGTTAACTGTCCAGCTGTACTTCCTCACTGTATAGTAGTTATTTATCAGTGTAAGTGGAGCTTCTGTATTGGTATTTATTGTCCACATATAATCTGTATACTAAGGATCATCACAGTTTAATAGTTCAGTTGTAATATTAGTGTTGTATGGAGCTTCTGTGTTGTTATTTGTTGTCCACATTTAATCTGTATACTAAGGATCTTCACAGTTTAATAGTTGAGTTGTAATATCAGTGTTGTATGGAGCTTCTGTATTGGTATTTGTGGTCCACATTTAATCTGTATACTAAGGTTCTTCACAGTTTAATAGTTGAGCTGTAATATTTGTGTTGTATGGAGCTTCTGTATTGGTATTTGTTGTCCACATTTAATCTGTATACTAAGGATCTTCACAGTTTAATAGTTGAGTTGTAATATTAGTGTGTATGGAGCTTCTGTATTGGTATTTGTTGTCCACATTTAATCTGTACACTAAGGATCTTCACAGTTTAAAGTTGAGTTGTAATATTAGTGTTGTATGGAGCTTCTGTGTTGGTATTTGTTGTCCACATTTAATCTGTATACTAAGGTTCTTCACAGTTTAATAGTTGAGTTGTAATATTAGTGTGTATGGAGCTTCTGTATTGGTATTTGTTGTCCACATTTAATCTGTACACTAAGGTTGTTCACAGTTTCATAGTTTAGTTGTAATATAATTATTCTCACAGTGACACAACACAGTCTTGATGCATTAATACACAGTATTTTTGTTATTTTATACTAGAAATGTTTGGCTATTTATCAAACTAAGAAACAACTGTATTATTTTACAAAGTTTGCTCTGAAGTGATCACGTTTCTATGTTCTGTTTCTGTTGAAGTATATTGCTGTAATATATGTACATTTACTATCATTCTACAGAGTGGAATGTTACAAGCAATAGAAAGATACATGAAACAAGCAATTGTGGACAAAAATCACTCTGTATCTAGTGCTTCACTTGTTTCATCCTTGGTAAGTGTTATATGATTATGGTGTTGTTTGTGTGATTGTTTCTAACAGTGTTATATGATTACGGTGTTGTTTGTGTGATTGTTTCTAACAGTGTTATATGATTACGGTGTTGTTTGTGTGATTGTTTCTAACAGTGTTATATGATTACGGTGTTGTTTGTGTGATTGTTTCTAACAGTGTTATATGATTATGGTGTTGTTTGTGTGATTGTTTATAACCGTAAGTGTTATATGATAATGGTGTTTGTGTGATTGTTTCTAACAGTGTTATATGATTACGGCGTTATTTGTGTGATTGTTTCTAACAGTAAGTGTTATATGATTACGGTGTTGTTTGTGTGATTGTTTCTAACATTAAGTGTTATATGATTATGGTGTTGTTTGTGTGATTGTTTCTGATTTCCGAGTGTAAACATGTTGTTTTTAACTTGGAAGTGAAAATGTAAACCTGTTGTTTGTAGCTTGGAAGTGAAAATGTAAACCTGTTGTTTGTAGCTTGGAAGTGAAAATGTAAACCTGTTGTTTGTTTTTAACTCGGAAGTGAAAATGTAAACCTGTTGTTTGTAGCTTGGAAGTGAAAATGTAAATCTGTTGTTTGTTTTTAACTCGGAAGTGAAAATGTAAACCTGTTGTTTGTAGCTTGGAAGTGAAAATGTAAACCTGTTGTTTGTTTTTAACTCGGAAGTGAAAATGTAATTGTGTTTTTTTTTAACTTGGAAGTTAAAATTTTCCACCTTGAGGATACTTAGGCCTAAGAATTTTGTGTATTAAAAACATTCCCTATCAGTTTCTACTGTTTAATATTCTATATTTCAGTAAATACATACAAAGTCCATTGGAATAATGTGTAAATTCCATCTTTGGTCAGTTGTATTTCATCTCAAGTTAGCTAAAAAACCACAATTTTATGTTTTACAATTACTATTCAAAAATGTACAAAACAAAGTTCTTGCAAAATATAGGTTTAGTCTTAAGTCAGTAAAGACTATTTATTATAAAATGTGTGTACATATTTCATGTAAAACTTACATTCTGACTTTATACCATGTCAGTAAAGTAGTTTTCAAATTGTGTAGAAACTTCATTGTAAGAATTTAGTGACTAGTAGAAATTATGTTTATAGAACAAACAAATCAAAGAACAGATGGAACTTCAAACAACTATACGTTTACAAAATAGGAAGTAATAAACTCTTCTTATCTGTTATACTTGAAATCCTTGAGAAGACATATTTCTGTATTAAAGTTGAGCTTGAATTGATTTATTCTAAACTCTATTAAAACTTTTCCCAGCATCTGATGAGAGTGAGTCCTGACGTTGTAAAGAGGTGGGTTAATGAAGCTCAGGAAGCCGTGAATGCAGATAATGTGATGGTGCAGGTATGCTGATAATTCTTTACTAAGGATGTCATTTGTTGGTATACATCTGTTTCTCCTTGCAACCTTTACTGAGGATGTCATTTGTTGGTATACGTCTGTTTCTCCTTGCAACCTTTACTAAGGATGTCATTTGTTGGTATACGTCTGTTTCTCCTTGCATCCTTTACTAAGGATGTCATTTGTTGGTATACGTCTGTTTCTCCTTGCATCCTTTACTAAGGATGTCATTTGTTGGTATACGTCTTTTATTTTCTTTACCAAGAATGTCATTTGTTGGTATAAGTCTTTTATTTTCTTTATTAAGGATGTCATTTGTTGGTATACATCTTTTATTTTCATTACTAAGGATGTCATTTGTTTGTATACATCTTATTTTCTTTACTAAGGATGTCATTTGTTTGTATACGTCTTTTATTTTCTTTACTAAGAATGTCATTTGTTGGTATATATCTGTTTCTTGTCAAAAAGTATGCACACCATTTCATCCTAGCTAGGACTAAAATAAATATATTTTTTTCTCAACAAGTGAAATCACAACTTTTAATATAACTTATGGAACTTGTTAAGAGTGTCCTTATCATGTATTTGCTTTGTTTCTAGTATCACGCCCTCGGACTTTTGTACCACATTCGTAGATCTGATCGTCTTGCCGTGTCGAAACTGGTGACCAAATACGCTCGCTCTGCACTGAAATCTCCATATGCTGTTTGTATGCTGGTAAATATTTATCATAAAATGATTTTGTTAAAACGTATTTAATAACATTATGAATTCCTGTAATCTTGCTGTGGTATTTAACTGTGAATGTTTTAAAGTCTGTTGTTGTTCTACAAGTACTTAATAAATGTTATTTTTATTCCTTCCAGATTCGAATTGCCAGTAAACTGATTGCAGATGGTGATGCAGGGTAAATTTTCTTTAAATACTAGTGATCTTGATCAGCATTTATTCAGAATCTTTTAAAAACTGTTGTCAGTCGTACCTTGTTGGAGCTTTCCAACAGATAATTAATCTTAGTTCATATTAAGATGATATCTCATGAAATCAAACTTTGCAAGATTCTCATACATTTTGTTTTTCAATAAAACTTTCTGCATATTTTCATCATCCTAACTTGACTTTCAATACTGTAGAGATCTGATGTGTAATATCAGCTTCTCTATATACTTCCAAGAAGTTTCTACACCCGTAGGTTTCAACTTACCCTTAATTTCCCATCATTTCTGTATCACGCAAGGGAATTTTTATAAATAAAACTTTCTGCATATTTTAATCATCCTAACTTGACTTTCAATACTGTAGAGATCTGATGTGTAATATCAGCTTCTCTATATATACTTCTAAGAAGTTTCTACACCCGTAGGTTTCAACTTACCCTTAATTTCCCATCATTTCTGTATCACGCAAGGTCATTTTTATAAATATCACTTTATCTTCATATTTTGATTCTGATATCTTGTTCTTTAGAATTTAGCAAGTTTCGTGTGTGTGAAGTTTGAAATGTGTAGAATTACATTGTGTTTAATGTGTAGAATTTAGCAAGGTTTGTTTGTGGCCTTTGAAATGCTGGTACTTGAATTGTGTTTAATGTCTAGAATTTAACAAGGTTTGTTTGTGGCCTTTGAAATGCTGGTACTTGAATTGTGTTTAATGTCTAGAATTTAGCAAGTTTCGTGTGTGTGATGTTTGAAATGCTGGTAATTACATTGTGTTTAATGTGAAGTACCAGCATTTCAAAGGCCACAAACAAACCTTGTTAAATTCTAATGTTTAATGTGTAGAATTTTGCGAGTTTTGTGTGTGCCGTTTAAACTGCTGGTACTTATTGTGTTTAATATCTGGAATTTAACAAGGTTCTTGCTTAGAGTGACTTGTGTACATTCACAACTTAAAGTAATTCACTAATATTCTTGTAATATTTCTTTAATTATGTCAGGCTTGTGGCTAATATATTGATATTTTCTTAGAAGTTTAAATGTTTTGTGTTAATAATTTACATGTTATTTTAACTAGATATTCACATGTAACTAATTTTAAGTCAAGCGTGACCGAACATCTAATATACTTAGAAGTTCAATGAAAGTTGTATTGAGGTTTAGTTGATAATATTTTAAAAACAATTTACATTGCTTCTATGGAAATGTTAAAATTAATGAGATTTAGGGGTTCAAATAGTGTTAGTGTGTATAGTTGGAGTGTAATCACATGGAAAACTGTGTAATCTAGTAGCAAAAATATTTATTTTAAAGTTTTCTACTTAACAATTAGCTTTCGCATGATAACTTATTCAAAGTAGTCATTAACATCATCCAAATGTAGAGAAAGAAATGTCATCTTTTCATTTCTGAACCCTTTGGTTTCAAAAGAAACACATTTTGTGATGTTAGTGAAAACATTCTCTATAGCTTTTACATTAACGGTTTCAGTAGGCGAAAGATTTATGTTATGAAATATTACGCAGAACCAAAAGAAGCACTTCAGGATATTTGTGTTTATGCTACTACTGTTCCACAGCACACTTCAAAGATTTATGTTATGAAATATTACGCAGAACCAAAAGAAGCACTTCAGGATATTTGTGTTTATGCTACAACTGTTCCACAGCACACTTCAAAGATTTATGTTATGAAATATTACGCAGAACCAAAAGAAGAACTTCAGGATATTTGTGTTTATGCTACAACTGTTCCACAGCACACTTCAAAGATTTATTCCATTCCAAGCTTTTTCCAGACAAAATGAGGAATGTGTACACCCAAGTAAAATTGTGTCTGTAACACTTGGAATCTGTTGTATTTAATTTTTAAACTTGCATATATGACACTTTTCTGTTAAGACTATCTTAAATGTTCAGAGACGAGGATCTCAGCGTAAGTCTGTTCCGAACAGACTTACATTGACAATGTGTCTTTTTAAGTAATTTTAAAAACTCCTATATTTCATCCCATTGGACCAGATCATTTTCAGGCTGTGTATGATTAACAACAAATTGAAAGAGTAATGGTTATTATTAGAAATGCACGTGTAGAATTTTAAGTATATAACATAGATGAAACTGAATTACTTACAAAAAGCTTAAAAATGAAATTTGTAAAGGTGGAGGGGAGTACTGAGATATTTGTTCAAAAGAAAAAGTTTAAAAACTCTAATCAGAATAGATTCTGTAGTTTTTCTTCTGTTTAGTTCACTTTACAGAATTTTAACATTCTGTTATGGAACATTTGGTTTCTTTTAAAAATTTGAAAATGTAGGATGGTCTTTAAAGTGTTCTTTGAACCCTCTGTTCACTTCTCTTCATGTTTCAACTAAAGGATGGTCTTTAAAATGTTCTTTGAATCCTTTGTTCGCTTCTCTTCATGTTTCAACTAAAGGATGGTCTTTAAAGTGTTCTTTGAACCCTCTGTTCGCTTCTCTTCATGTTTCAAGTAAAGGATGGCCTTTAAAGTGTTCTTTGAACCCTCTGTTCACTTCTTTTCATGTTTCAACTAAAGGATGGTCTTTAAAGTGTTCTTTGAACCCTCTGTTCACTTCTTTTCATGTTTCAACTAAAGGATGGTCTTTAAAGTGTTCTTTGAACCCTCTGTTCGCTTCTCTTCATGTTTCAACTAAAGGATGGTCTTTAAAGTGTTCTTTGAATCCTTTGTTTGCTTCTCTTCATGTTTCAACTAAAGGATGGTCTTTAAAGTGTTCTTTGAACCCTCTGTTCACTTCTTTTCATGTTTCAACTAAAGGATGGTCTTTAAAGTGTTCTTTGAACCCTCTGTTCACTTCTTTTCATGTTTCAACTAAAGGATGGTCTTTAAAGTGTTCTTTGAACCCTCTGTTCACTTCTTTTCATGTTTCAACTAAAGGATGGTCTTTAAAATGTTCTTTGAACCCTCTGTTCACTTCTTTTCATGTTTCAACTAAAGGATGGTCTTTAAAATGTTCTTTGAACCCTCTGTTCACTTCTTTTCACGTTTCACCTAAAGACAATTACTTATGTTACATTTGATTTCATATATTATTCCTCGCTTTGTTTTGGATCATTTCTACCAATGATGTTTCTGATTTTTTACTTCTAATGTTTGTATAGTTTATGTTAATGTGCTTCTTGATGATGTACTTGTGTATTCTAACAGGGTGTTGCTAACATGTTTAATAAGGTGATTTTGACAGTTGTCTTGTGATTACTTGTTGAATTACAAGTTGCACGATTTCCTTACACTTTTAATTACTGATAACAAACACTGTAAAGCTGTTGATGATGTAAAATATCTCATGTGTTGTTCTGTAAATGTTTTAGGCCAGACAGTCCATTGTTTGAGTTCATAGAGAACTGTCTAAGGCACAAGAGTGAGATGGTGATATATGAAGCAGCTAACGCTATTGTTAACCTCAAGTCCACAACGCCACGTGAACTGGCACCTTCCATCTCGGTTTTGCAACTTTTCTGTAGTTCTCCGAAGCCAACACTTCGATTTGCTGCTGTCAGAACGCTGAACAAGGTAAATTAATGAAATATTATTTACAGTCCAGAATTTCAGTTTGTTTCTAAATTAATAATGAACTTCTTTAAGCAACATTGAAGTCAACAATTTAACAGAGTAAGCTGTTGAATTAAACACCAAACCAGTATGTGAACAGGTTAAAATAAACACTGGATTGACACTTGAGCAGTGTAACATATTTAAATAACACTGGACTGATGCTTGAGCAGTGTAACATATTGAAATAACACTGGACTGATGCTTGAGCAGTGAAATTTATTGAAATAACACTGGACTGATGCTTGAGCAGTGTAACATATTGAAATAACACTGGACTGGCACTTGAGCAATGTAAGATATTGAAATAACACTGGACTGATGCTTGAGTAGTGTAACATATTGAAATAACACTGGACTGATGCTTGAGCAGTGTAACATATTGAAATAACACTGGACTGACACTTGAGCAGGTAAGATATTGAAATAACACTGGACTGACACTTGAGCAGGTAAGTTATTGAAATAACACTGGACTGACAGTTGAGCAGGTAAGATATTGAAATAACACTTTAGCGGTGTAAACTGTTAATATTACATCAGGCTGACACTTGAGCAGTGTAAACTGTTAATATTACATCAAGCTGACACTTGAGCAGTGTAAACTGTTAACATTACATCATGCTGACACTTTAGCAGTGTAAACTGTTAACATTACATCAGGCTGACACTTTAGCAGTGTAAACTGTTAACATTACATCAGGCTGACACTTTAGCAGTGTAAGCTGTTGAAATAACATCAAGCTGACACTTTAGCAGTGTAAACTGTTGAAATAACATCAGGCTGACACACTAGCAGTGTAAACTGTTAAAATAACATCTGGCTGACACTTGAATCGTTGAAAAACTCATTCTTACTACTCTCAAAATCCATTAAACAGTTTAAAGTATCATATATCAATAAATTTCTCTAATTTGTCATTATAAACAAAAATCCAGTTAGAATGTGTATCATTATTTATCATCTTTTTTTAAAGATAATTTCAGTTTCTAGTGTTAAAGTACATAGAAATAAGGTGACTGTTTGGTAAAGAGAAAGAGATTAAATCCTCTCAGCTCATCTGACGTATACTCCTGAAACAAACGGAGATATTTGTGAAATAAAATGGTGGTCATTAAATGCACTGTAAACTTTATTGTATCAATTTTCATCAGTTGTAGATAGTCTGAATTCAAAAGTAATGACATATCTTTTTTGTAATATTAAAAGAACTTTAGAATAAATTTTAAATGTTTTATTAATACAACAGTGAAAATTCTTAAATCATTGTATATATATAATTATAACTATGAAAACGTTTGAATACGATTTCTGTATTATATAATATATTATATATTATATAATATATTTCTTATATTATATACATCAGGGAATACTGATGTATAGCAATCTTGTCAAAAACTTAAAACACTCCTTTATAGATATAGCCTAAACATTTTTATTGCTAATACATTTCATTATATTTTTTTTATAAGTTTTAAAAGGAAAGTAACTAAACTTCATTAAATGTTTGTAGCTAGTTTAGCTATAGAATCTTGTGAAAAAAGTCCTTGAGAAAATGTGAATTCATATTTAATATGGTATATAAAACTATGTGTACGTTCGTGCAGTAGTTTGGGTTTACATTTTTTTCTGGTTGGAACTCTCCACTGTAATTTAATATATTTCATTTCTCTGTCACCAGGTGTCCATGTCTCATCCTGCAGCAGTCACAGCTTGTAACATGGATTTGGAGAACCTTATCACTGATGTTAACCGTAGTATTGCCACTCTTGCCATCACAACTTTATTAAAGACTGGTAGTGAGAGTAGTGTAGAAAGACTGATGAAACAGATCTCGAGCTTCATGTCAGAAATATCTGATGAATTTAAAACAGTTGTAGTTCAGGCCATCAGGTATTAAAGCAAGAACAACATTGTGTTTTCTAATTAACTCTTTACCTACTAGCACTTGTTTCTCCTAGACATGTGCCAGTAATAAAAACTTATATTTATCCCTGGTGGGTCAGACTCAAACTTTACTCTTTATCAGATCTATACAAATTCAGATATTTTTTCCCCAGACATTTATAGAATGTGTTATAACATTCAGATTTGTGTAAATCAGTAAATAAAGAGTGAGTTTAGATTAAGTAATAGCAATAATAAATAACATTACTTATGTGTTATTGAATTTATACCAGTTAAAGAAGTATTTCTCTTTCAACCAATATTTTGCTCAGAAAAGTAAGACAAGTCCAGTATGTTTCAAATACAAAATGAATTTGCAAAGTACGTGAAGGTAGTTAAGATTAAGTTCAAACCACTAGGAATTAATTTGATGCACTTGAGAAAAGAGATGTAATGGAAAATATTCTGACAAGAATATGAGGAGGAAGAAATCATAATATCTTTTAAATAAGTTACAAACAAATGAATAAGGTTATGGACCACAGAAGTGTAGCTTCGGTTATTTGTTATTCCTTGAAACATTGAATAATTTACTGTTGCACATTCTTATCTGTTTAAGGTCACTTTGTCAGAAGTTCCCAAGGAAACACAGTATCATGATGAACTTCCTGTCATCAATGTTGAGGGAAGAAGGAGGGTTTGAGTACAAGAAAACTATAGTCGATACGATCATCAATATTATTGAAGATAATCAGGAAGCTAAAGAAGCAGGTGAGTAGACAGAAGTACTTATTATGAACTGGTTATAAACTTAATAATTAATACCTGATGTAAAGGTACTTAAAATTGTTAGATTTTATTGTTTATCGAAGGAGTGTTTGATTAAAGAATCCGTTTACTGACCAGTTCCTTTCACAGTGGCATTTACTTCACACTTTCCCTGTATAATACTGTACTTAATTCTTTACAGAAAATCCTTACTTCACACTTTCCCTGTATAATACTGTACTTAATTCTTTAGATAATCCTTACTTTCCCTGTATAATACTGTTCTGATTCTTTAGATAATCCTTACTTCACACTTTCCCTGTATAATACTGTACTGATTCTTTAGATAATCCTTACTTCACACTTTTCCTGTATAATACTGTACTTAATTCTTTAGATATTCCTTACTTCACACTTTCCCTTTATATTACTGTACTAATCCTTTAGATAATCCTTACTTCTCACTTTCCCTGTATAATACTGTACTAATCCTTTAGATAATCCTTACTTCACACTTTCCCTGTATAATACTGTACTTAAAACCTTGTAAGTTTGGTATCAATTTACTTTGATGGTGATCAACAATTGTCATGATTATATTTGTAGAAACCAAAACTGGTAATATGTAAGCTACAAATCTACCTGTAGTAAAATATTGTTAACAAGTAGGAAGGAAATGTTATTTGTTAATTATCTGCAAATAAAGATTAAAATAGTAAATGGTAGACTAAGTACATACATCATGATATGTACTACATGTTAAACCACTGTAGTGTGAGTATCTAGTGAAAATAAAGTTATCAGATCTATCATAGTATACAGTGTAGTGTGAGTATTTAGTGAAAATAAAGTTATCAGATCTATCATAGTATACACTACAGTGTAGTTTGAGTATCTAGTGAAAATAAAGTTATCAGATCTATCATAGTATACACTACAGTGTAGTTTGAGTATCTAGAGAAAATAAAGCTATCAGATCTATCATAGTATACACTACACTGTAGTGTGAGTATCTAGTGAAAATAAAGTAATCAGATCTATCATAGTATACACTACAGTGTAGTGTGAGTATCTAGTGAAAATAAAGTTATCAGATCTATCATAGTATGCACTACAGTGTAGTGTGAGTATCTAGTGAAAATAAAGTTATCAGATCTATCATAGTATACACTACAGTGTAGTTTGAGTATCTAGTGAAAATAAAGATGTTTGATCCAGTGGATCTTTTTGATTAGAACATTTATTGTGAAGAATTCCTTTTTTTTTCTTTTGTAAATTATGAAGTTCCCATTGTTGAGTTATTTTTTTTTGCTCCAAAGTTTATTTTTATATTGTTAGTAAATACAAAAAGCTGTAAACATGGATTTCTTCCAAATACAGGTTTAGCACATCTTTGTGAATTTATTGAGGACTGTGAACACACTAGTTTAGCTGTCCGCATCCTTTATCTGCTCGGTAGAGAAGGCCCACGAACGTCCCAACCATCCAAGTACATCCGCTTTATCTATAACAGGTTAATCTTAGAAAATGGCTCAGTTAGAGCAGGTAAGACTTGTGTATCTACCTGAAACACACTTTTGCTGTCACTTGTTTAGAAGAAAGCAGTTTTAACTATTGAAATATCTTCAATTAAAAAAACAAAGTTTTATATAAATACTTAGTTGTTCTCCTTAAACCATCTGGGCTGCTTATTTGCGAAAGAGGGATTTGGGACCAAAATAAGGGGGAGGGGGTAACAAAAGGTCTTACTTGATTATTATGAATGTTGTGTGTATACTATATTCTACAGGAAAATAAAGTGCAGATAGCTTATCCTCCCCCCCTAATCCTGCCTATACTTAATTGTATGTCACTAAGTCAGGTAATTGTCATTTGCTTCCTGTGCTCTTCTGGTTTACTAAACTGTGTTAAGTGACTTCTTGTCCAGTGTATCTTGAAACCAAAGGCTGGGAGCTGGTTATAATATGAACTATTTTGTTTGATGGGAAAAAATTTAAAAAACATCTTGGTGTTTTAACTAAATTCAAAAGTAGTTTTTACGGACAAGTGAATGAACAGATTCACCTTATTAAGAGAACTTGATGCCATTTAAAAAATTATGTTTAAATCACTATGTTATGTGGTTGTCTTTAAGTGTATTTAGTCTCATTATGTGTTAACTTAATATTAACTTCATCTGATACAACACATACAGCCATTCAGTAGTGTGTTTTTCACACAATAACCTAATATTGAATAATTAAACTGTGTAAATTTGGATAAATAACCTAATATTGAATAATTAAACTGTGTAAATTTGGATAAATAACCTAATATTGAATAATTAAACTGTGTAAATTTAGATAAATAACCTAATATT